GGAATGAAGTAATCAGACAAAAGGTGGGAGTAGCACCTATAGAAGATAAGATGCAGGAGCTTGTTTGCGGTGATTTGGGCATGTGCGTAGAAGACCGAGTGATGCACCTGTTAAATGGCTTGAGGGGTGGGGAGAAGAGTCAGAGAAGAGAGGGAGGGGAAGATCCAAACAGACTTGGATTAGAGGAATCAGAACTGATATGCGTCTTCTTGGGTTGGATGAGAGTATGGCTTTGGAGAGAGCAAAATGGAGGACACACATCTGTGTGGACGGTTGATGTCTTGTCTATCTTTCCTCTCTTTTTTCTTTTATCGTTTATCTTCCTTATCATTTCTTTTTTATCTTTTATCTTTGTTATATTCTTATGTTATTATTATCTTATACTTCCTCCGTCTCTTTTTAGTTGCAACAGTCAACATTTCACGTTTGCCAACGCACAACTTTGATCGTCATTATATTTAATTCTGTATTAGTAAAAATAAAATAAAAATCAGATTATAAAACTAAGTAATGAGACGAATTTAACAATATTTTTCAAAAAAAAATCACATACATTAATAAATAAAATGTAATTAATGTAAAGTACATGAATAGTGTATATATTCCAATGTTGCAATTAATGCGATACGGAGGATAATATTTATTTATCTTTATTTTATTCATTTTATCTTTTTTTTTCATTTTCTTACCCATCTTCTCTTTTTGGCATCGATATCATAGATCGATTCATGTTAGCCGTCCCCAAATTCTTTTGGGATTAAGGCTTGGATGTTGTTGTTTTTGTTGTATGTCATTGTTTGATTAATTATAATTAGTTGTTTCCTTGTCATGAAAAGTCATATCTATTATTGAGAAAAAGCTGGCTACATTCTTTTGGGGGCGCTTTCTCACCAAAGGTAGGTTTCATTGGAAATCTATCTGATTAGGCAGTTACGCTTCAATGAGCTTCGTCTTGTTTGTGGTTGAATTGAAAGGAAAATAGATCACTTTGGGCACTACTGATGCAATAGAGGTGAAGATGTGAAGTTAGTCTAGACTACCATACTCCCCTACTTGGAAAGTTGGAAGAGAATTTGTGGTATCCATATATCATATTCAGTGCCATGAATTCTAAGATGATGAGTGATGGCTCCCCTATCAAATAATGGTAGTTTTACGCTTGCATCAACATATGAAGATTTGCAAGACTCTAGGATTTGCCTTTTTCTTTTCGAAAGCTTGGCATAAGTGACAAGTTGTCATTTATTTATTCTTGTGGAAATTACTACAAAACATTCAATTGTTTTCCAAGAATCATAGTAGGTTTTAGACCTCATATGAGTCGTCGTATCTGTCCACATGCCCATTCAATTGTTGATTATTGTTTATACTCCTCTAAGATGGTGGTCGGGATTGGCACTATTTCATGAGTATATTTTTCATTCTCTGTCCCACGTTTATATATTGCTTAAATTAAATGCTTATTAATTGGTGGTTAGAGTCTCTCTTCCTCAAAACTAAGAGCAAGAAGAGACTTATTTGATAATAGCTTGCTGAATTTTTATTTCATCATATTGCAACATTTAAAGACTCAAGGTCTTACAAATTTTAACAACAAACAAGTAGGAAACAAATATCCACTTGCTAAACAAGTGGGCAAGTGGGTGCAAAGTCTTACACTCGTCTACCTAGTGGCTAGGTTGTAAGAAGATAAGAAGATAAGTAGGGCCTTAATAAAATATCTTAAGATAGGAATTTAGATAGACTTTTGCTCCATTCTTTTGAGTCAAAGGACCACTTACTTCAACACTCTCCCATGGAGCTAAGTCTTCGCATTCCAAGTTTTTTACACAGTACATCAAACCTTTGTTTTGGCTGAAATTCGGTGAGTATATCAGCAATTTGCTCTTCGGATGAGCAAAATTGTAGATCAATTTCACCTTCGTTTTGCAATTGCCTTACTGAGTGAAACTTGATTTTGAAATGCTTCGTTCTATCATGAAGTACTGGATTCTTGATGATGACAATGGCGGCTTTGCTGTCACATAACATCATAGTTGCATTCTTTTGCTCCAATTTCAAATCAATGAGAATTTTTCTTAGCCAAACCGCTTGATTTCCTCCTTTGGAAGATGCAATGTATTCAGCTTCTGCAAGTGATTGAGCAACAACATATTGCTTCTTTGACTTCCAACTGATCATGCCTGAACCAAGAGAGAAACAGTAGCCAAACACGCTTCTGCTTTCTTCATCAGAGCCATCAAAATCACTATCAGTGAATCCAGGTAGATTAACTGGAATTTTGCCATAAAACATGCCATAATCAGCACTGCCTTGCACATACCTTCTATCATGCATCTTAATAGTTATAACTATCACGCCACTTTTGTCAATAATATCACAAATATTATCATGGAAGTCCAACGAGAAACCAGCATCAACTAGTTGCCCCACACTTATCAAATTCTGAGCAATATTAGGCACATAAAGCACCTCATGAAGAACTTTAGTACCTGAACTGGTTTTGATTGCAGCGGTGCCTCTTCATTTGAGTGGAAGAAATTCACCATTTCCCACTTTCACTCTTGAGTGGTAGTTTTTATCAAGGAACTTGAAAATACTCAAGTCAGGAGATATGATTTGTGCATCCACTGTTTATCAACCATGAATAGGTTTTTGGATGATCCACCAAGCCTCTTTGAACTGTTGAAGCCATGAACAGGTTCTCTTCCGCCTCTTCTTGTTCTTCAGCATTCTGAGCTTGTTGTTGCTGACCAATTCTGAACTTGCAGATTTTTTGAACATGACCGAACTTCTTGCATTGTTTGCACTACACACCAGGTCTGACCCAGCAATAATCAACACTGTGGTTTGTTCTTATGCAGTGAGGGCAAGGAGGATAAGTAGCTCTCTTCCTTCTTGATTTGCTAGAATTTTCGGGCTATAATTTTCTGTCTTTCTTTTCATCAAAGGAAATTTGCCTGGGCTGCTTTCCTTTGGATTGAGCAAGAAAGGCTCCTTCAACAGAGCCGTCATTCCTCATGATTTGTCTGTCTTCAACTGCTTGTAGAGCACCGACTAATTTTGCGAGAGAGAAGGTTGACATGCCTTTACTGTCCTCAAGCGAGCTAATCTTGTGCTCAATCTTTTCCGGAACAGAACACATCACATTGTCCACAACTCTCTTATCAGTGACATCTTCTCCAAGTAGTCTCATCTGAGTAACAACCTTCAGTACTCTGACAGAAAAATCTTTCACCAGCTCATTATCTCTCGTTTTGAGAGTTTCAAGCTGCCTTCTGAGATTGAGAATATGCATTCCTCTGGCCCTAGTATCTCCTTGGAATTATTGAGCAAGTTTGTCCCAAATTCCCTTTGTTGTTTTGCTTGTCATGATCCTGACAAACATATCTTCACTCAAGGTTGCGTGGAGGTAAGACACCGCCTTGAATTTCTTCGAAACAGCATTAGAGTGTTGCTTCATTTGAGCAAGTGTGGGATTTGCTCTCAGGGGCTCCGGATCTACATCTGTTTCTACAACATCCCATAAATCACGAGCTCTCAAAAAAGCTTCCATTTTCACAGCCCAAATATTGTAATTCTGGCCTGCAAAAAAACAGGAGGAGCAATGGTGAAACCTTTTGATTCCGCCATCAAAACTTTTCCTTTCTTCTCTCAATTTGTTTTCCTCACTTTCACTCGTGTTTCACTCACCTTACATCCTCTCAAAGATCACTCAAAGTGATCTGATACCAACTGTAGGAATTTTGTGTGTTTAGACTAAGAGCAAGAATGCTAAGAGTAGAGAAAACGTAAAGAGCAAGAAGAGACTTATTTGATAATAGCTTGATGAATTTTTATTTCATCATATTGCAACATTTAAAGACTCAAGGTCTTACAAGTTTTAACAACAAACAAGTAGGAAACAAACATCCACTTGCTAAGCAAGTGGGCAAGTGGGTGCAAAGTCTTACACTCTTCTACATAGTGGCTAGGTTGTAAGAAGATAAGAATATAAGTAGGGCCTTAATAAAATATCTTAAGATAGGAATTTAGATAGACTTTTGCTCCATTCTTTTGAGTCAAAGGACCACTCACTTCAACACTCCCCCATGGAGCTAAGTCTTCGCATTCCAAGTTTTTCACACAGTACATCAAACCTTTGTTTTGGCAGAATCTTGGTGAGTATATCAGCAATTTGCTCTTCGGATGAGCAAAATTGTAGATCAATTCCACCTTCGTTTTGCAACTGCCTTACTGAGTGAAACTTGATTTTCAAATGCTTTGTTCTATCATGAAGTACTAGATTCTTGATGATGGCAATGGCGGCTTTGCTGTCACATAACATCATAGTTGCATTCTTTTGCTCCAATTTCAAATCAATGAGAATTTTTCTTAGCCAAACCGATTGATTTTCTCTTTTGGAAGATGCAATGTATTCAGCTTCTGCACTTGATTGAGCAACAACAAATTGCTTCTTTGACTTCCAACTGATCATGCCTGAACCAAGAGAGAAACAGTAGCCAAACACGCTTCTGCTTTCTTCATCAGAGCCAGCAAAATCACTATCAGTGAATCCAATTAGATTAATTGGATTTTTGCCATAAAACACGACATAATCAAGAGTGCCTTGCACATACTTAATTCTAGAAGTTTTCTACATGTGCTTCGTAACCTTGATTTTGTTTTGAAATTATTGTTTTCACTAAGGGTAAGGTTTTATGTCCCCTTGATGTTGCAAAGCAACATCCTTAACTGGGATGAGATTCGAACCCGTGACCTTGTCCTTTGACGTGTCATAGTGTTGCCATCAGACCACAAGGTATTTGACTAAAATTTTAATAACTAGAAATGAGACAATTTATTTTTAGAATTATTAAAAAACAAATTTTTATCGTACCTTGCATATATGGACCAATTAAAATATTACAATTTAACAATTTTAATATTAAAAAATAATGAGATGATGAGTTGGATCGATCAAATGTATTGTAGGTATAATACCGTTATTTATGTGTAGGGAAAGGAATTACAGACTTGAGGTAACAAGACATGCTAGGTTTGTTCTTGAAATGAAGTAAGATTTAACCGTGGACATGAGATAATAGTACATGTTAGGTTTGTTCTTCAAATGAAGTAAGATTAATCGAGCATCTTGACCTCATTCTCCTTACATTTTTTTTTTTTGCAGAATAATGAGTAACACATACGCATATATATAAGAATAAGAAAGAAAAGAAAAGCATATACGGAGTATATACTTGCAGAAACTTCCTTATACATGTATATATTCATTTTTGTCATTGGGAATGTTAGCAAAGCCTGGGCAAGGCTCTACCGTGTGAAGGGGTTGGTATAATGGTCCCAGACTTGACCATTTTTGTCATTTGTCCCTTCATCTCCTTACAGATCTTCTCCAGCTCCACTACCCTCCACTGCATCCTCTCAAGGTTTACCCTCAAATCATCGCTTTTTTGACCCTCAGAGAGATGCCCACTATCCGCAAAACTATCACCACACTTGTTGTTGTACAACACGATTTGGGTTCCTGGATTTTCACTCAGAATCTTCTTCATTGATGAAGGCTCGTTTGGACGTTGTGAAGAAAGTGCCTGAACTGCAATTCTTGGAGGAATTCTCGGGTTCTTGGCCAGCTCTTTGCATGTCTCCAGACTTAGCTTTTCATAATTTAGACATCTGCACAGTCTTGATCTTTCTTCAAATGAGAGGGTTGGATGGGACTGCAGTCAGTTTATTCAGAGCAATTACTAATTTAATTATATGTCCAAACAATTGGAGTATCTGAAAAAGGCAAAAGTTTTGGATCTTTTTGTATGTAATTATTACAATGTTGGTTATCAACGAAAACCCCTTCACAAATTACATATTGAATTTAGTAGAGAATAATAATGTTATATGAAAAAACCACAACCAGAAGTCATGATTTATTGAGCGTTGAGTTGATCAAATTGTAGGAATATTGCAGCTGCATGCCTTTGTTTGTCTTCTACATGAAATCTAAAATGTGTCATGTCCTAAGCTATGACCGGATGAAGAATTTGTGATGTCCAATCAAAAACTCCTATATATAATTTAGTGAGATCAAAATGTGACCAATATTTCTCCGCTTCTTTTGTCCTCTACAGGGGAATGATTTGTTTTGCTTTGTTGGGGAAAATATACTTTTGTGATTCTTCCTTCTGTTGTTGTGAAACTCCCCCAAATTTAGTTTCATATCATCTTTATTTAGACTACACTACCCCCTCTCTAAAATACATATTTATACTCCAAGTGCTACAGCTAGGAAATGCTAATCCACTCCTCAACCCACCCTAAGAACTTTTTGTTATTTCCCAAAATCTGAATTTAGGGACTCTTGGCTCCTCCAATGACTCTTGTTTAGATGAATGATAGCTCCTCCGCCTACCCAGATTTTAGTGTTTTTACAGTATTACCCCTAGATTTGCTACTCCTCCGTTCCAAACTAAATTAAATGGCGAGGCAACCTTTTTCGTCTCAAACTAAACATCGTTGCATGTCTGTGCAAATACCTCAAATTTATTGTAGAGGACTTGATATTTTGTGCATATTTTTTCAAAGAACAAAGGATTTAATGCGACAAGAGTTTATATGGCCAACTTTCATCTTCAATAATTTCACAATGTTATGAGATTATCAACCTTATCTTTACTGACAAAATTTGTTGAAGATGATTTCCTTTAACTATTTTTTCAATATATATATTACATGTATTTTTTCACCCAAATTCGAGTACATTCAGTCAATTTTAGTGTTTTCAAACGACTTTAAATGTTAAACTTTTTAGGGGCAGAATGTCTTTTACATTCAGAATGTTAAACTTGCTGTGTGTTCTTTTATCTGACATTTATTACTTTTCTTAAATAACTACTTTTACATTGAAAGAGTAATATATTTAATAGTGAAGTGATTGAAGATTAACTTAGCAAAGGGGTCTTAAACAATAAGCAAGGTCAGTTATTGTAAGCAAGATACCATCTAGGTAAGACAACAACTCTACTCCGGCCCTAAGTCTTCCATAGACATAACAACTGCAAAAAAAAGAAAGTGATTTTGAAGGGCATACCTCAAGATAGATATATATAGCTCTATAGACTCCATCAAAGCAATCCCTTGCATGATCTGGTAAGCTTTCAGCAATGGCAAGAAACCTTGAGATCTTAAGGCTCTGATCAGGAGAAATTTCACCCAAATACCTATCAATCAATCTTCCAACCCTAATCATCTTCTCCCTAGCGGCATTATTATCGTTATGATGAACAAACACTCTGATCAATCTCAACACAAGATTGACATCATAAACACTCCCATTGTGCCCACAGACCAGCAGATCATCCAGTGTAGCCTGTTCAAGAACTCTGCCTATCACTCTCTCCAACCCATCCCTGCAATCTTTGCTCACCCCAAAACCAGACACAATTCTCATAACCCAAAATAGATTTCTGCAAGAAAAACCTGTTTTGCCCTTCAAAATCACCCTGTGAACAGCTGTTTCTGCAATCCCACTGTAACTTGAGGATGCTCTTGAAATCAGCCCACTGTTCTTGCACTGGGCCGCTCTCTTTAAGTAGTACAAGAGAAACTTTGTGACGATTAGGTTGTTCTCATTTCTAAAAGCTCCTAAGGTATTCACAAACTTCTCTATTGTTCTAGGGGATAAAACTGCCATATCTTCAAACCACCAGGAATTTCTTGAAGAAGAAGAAGAGTAAGAAGAAGCTCTGGATCCCCGTTGTGTGTCTGGGGATTCCAGAAGGAGAGAAATGTTGGAATTTCGCAAAATCTTGGCTAGCAAGAAATTCATAAGTTTTGTGATAAGACCACAAGAATCTGCAAAATGGAAGAAGGGTTCACAGGTCTTGAGAGAGGTGAGGATTTCATGCCAAGACCAGTAGAACATTCCCTCGAGAAAATTTTGGGTTCGTTCCAAGAGGTTGAAAGGGTGAATCTTCTCCGTCATTTCGAGAAACACAGCACAACAATGGAGGATTGAGACATTTTGCACTGTGATTCTGACGGTCTTCCCATTGCTGTAACAGAATCTTGAAACCAATTCAAACCCCTCTGGCCCTCCTGGGAAATCATCAAAATCTATTCTTGAACTATTGGCCTTCCTCAACTTCCCGGAGTAGCATGACACAACTTTCTGCAAAAATAAATAAACTTGGTTAAAAGGTAAAAATAAAAAGAGCGGAAGGAAAACCGATGGATGGTAGGGATTTAATGAATGAAGGAATGTTTGATGGGGTACGTTTAATATGAATATGAATATGATAGTTAGTTATTGGCATTACCTGATGCAGAAAGAATCTGTGATGACCATTGACAAGGATTGAGAGGTCACATAGCTCCTCTGGCAGTGTCATGGCGACGTCTTACATAGAGCATTGAATGAAAGATTTATGATAGAAAAAGCTTACAAATAATCAACGCTCTCATAAATGCTCTCTCTCTCTCTCTCACGCTTTCGTGTGAACGATTTACTGTTTGTCTATGGGGAAAAGAGCGTCAGACACTGACATGGATGCCAAAATGGAAAATGATCTACACGGCACTTTGTCCACATCATTTAGGGTAAATTGCACCAAATCCCCTCGTGATACTATGTACTCCCTCCGTTCCTAAATAAATTTTCAACTTTCCTTTTTCGTCCGTTCCAATTAAAACTTCCACTTTCCTTTTTTGGTAAAGAATTTGTGGTTTACAACATTTCTTACACATTTCTCTCTCCTCTGCACAACTCTCCACCACACAATATCCACTATCTTAAACATTGTGCCAAACCCATTTGGAAGTTAAAATGGGAACGGAGCTAGTATAAAACATGCATATTATCCCACTGTGTTTTTTAAAAAGCATGAAACCCATTTATGTTTTGTAGATTAATATAAATGGGTTTCATGCTTTTTCAAAAACACAAGAGGATAATATGCATGTTTTATATTACATGAGGGGATTTGGTGCAATTTACCCCATCATTTTACAAATAATTTGATCGGCGTTTTAGGAAGAAAACTGATTTCTATATAGATAAAATAAAAAATTTATCTGTATCACAAACATTTTAAAATTCTTGTTTAAAATGCTCATTTGAAACTGCCTATATCATAGACATTTTTATGAAAAAATTGTCATTTAAAACGTCTGTGATACAGAAAATTTTTTGTTTTTGTCTGTGTGAAAATCGGGCTTCATCCTAAAACGCCGATCAAATTGTATGTACACAGATAATTTGACCGGCGTGTACAATGACATATACAATGTCGTGTACACGAAGTGTGACTGTAATTTCAATATCTCAAAATTTGAAGGTGTGCGACATAGGTATTCCAAACTTGCACATGTAATATACTACATCCGTTCCACAAAATTCTTCTCACTTACCATTTTGTGATGCCCCGAAAAAATTCTTTCTGTTTCTCTTTTTGGAAAGTTTTGTGTAGTTAACACTCATTTACCTATTTTTACTCAACCACAATCATACATTTCCATTTATTTTCACTTTCTTAATAAGCGTGTCAAGTCAAACTGGAAAGTATTTTTTGGGACAGATGGAGTATGATGGAGTATATGGCCCGAGAACCCCCGGCCCACAGACTCCTACTACTCCAATAAAGGCCCAACAGGCCCAGAAAGCACAACAGGCCCAAATCACAGCGCCCAGAGTACCAAGCAGCCCACAACGTGCACCAGGGGTGCCTTCGGTCCCCTGGCCGAAGGCTCTAACTCTCACAAGAGGGCCAGGACAGGAAAACAAAGTTACTGGGAAAAACAGCGAAAATCAGTAGCCCTCGGCAACTGGAGCCCTCGGCACTAAGGGGGTCCCCGGTACTCAGAGCCCTCGGCTAGTCATCTACTGCCGAGGGCGCCTCTTCCGACACAATATCCGCTCCACATGCGTACAGATCACCGTACCCTGTACAACGTCCCATCCAACAGCCGCATTAAATGCGGCCACATGCGGTTGCCAGCGCCAACCAGATGAGGTGACCTCTCGGCCAATGGACGCTTGACACGTGTCCCTGTCCGGCATTTATTGCTACTATAAATAGCACCCCATTTCCCCATTTGTAACCACGCTGAAAACGCTGAACGCTTTGCAATATACTTTCTCTCTCTATATTTACTTGCTCCGACTTCTCTCTTATAATTCTCCGTAATAACCCCTCGGATAAGCTACCCCCCGGGTACACTATCCATCATTTGGTGCTCTCGTTGAGAGGTCGGACAATCAAGTAAGAAACCCTCCCCCTCGACCAAACACAAAACACCCATCTAAAATGGTGAGAACAACCCGTGCAAACTCCAAGAATGTAGAGGACAGGAACCTGGCCCTCGGCGAGGTCGACGTCCCCGAAGCCTCCAACAGGGCTCTCAGGGGCGGCATCATCGCCGGGTTGGACCAGACGGCTGTCGACTTACGCCAGCAGATTCAACAAAACGCCCCTGATGCCCGCCTCGGCATCTAGGCCAAGAAAAAGGACCGGAGCGAAAATCAAATTAGCCCTCCGGTCATTACCATCGACGTTCAATCGGCGCTCTCCGCCTTCATCCAGACGCTCACTCAGAACCCAGGTGCCTTCGGCACTTTGGTTCCCCTCCAACCTCAGGTGGGGGAGAATATTATGCCTCCCCCTCATCCACGACCCCTCGGCAACCCGGTCCTCCGGATGGGGAACTCCGAGGGGGTCATGGCCCAAGATACGGCCTCCCAGGAAGTCCAGTCCCGGGACCGCCACAACGTGAACAAGGAACAGCTCCGGACCTCCGCCCTCGAGAGACTCGGAGGGGCGCAAGACCGCCGAGGGGTCCAAGACCGCCTCGGGGGGAAGGCGTTCCAAAGGCCTCAGGAAAGTGGAGGGTCCGTCTCCAGGGCCAATGAAAGGCGTCCCCCCCCCAGGACAAGGGCAAGGCACCTCTCCATGCCGACGACGCACGCCATTAAATCAATCAAGCCCACTCGGCCCGGGTCCATTCGCAGGGGGCGGAGGCCCTCCCGAAGGACCCCCGAGACGAAATCATCGCGGCCCTCCAGCGCCGGCTTGACATCAAGTATGAGGCGATGATGGCCAAGATGGAAGAAATGCAGAAGAAGATAGTCGAGGGCTCCGGGGAACCCACCATACAGCTCCGGACCCCGACGCCATTTACCCCAAGGGTATTGGCTGCCCGGATCCCGGAAAAATACCGAGGGCAGCTCATCAAACCCTATGACGGAAAGACTGACCCCCAAGAGCACTACAGCAGGTATCAAAACAACATGATGATGGTGGGGGCATCAGATGAATATTTGTGCCCCTGGTTCCTCTCCACCCTAGAGGGGCCAGCTTACGAATGGTTCAACCGATTGCCCGAGGGCTGTATTGACTCATGGCAAGAACTCGCCCAGCGATTCTTGACGCAATTTGCGGGAAGGCGCCGCACAAGGAAACACTTCTCACACTTACTAACAGTGAGGCAGAAGAAGGAAGAGACCCTTCGGGACTTCCTGGAGCGCTGGAGGACGGAGGCTGATAAAGTTGACGGCGCTGATGACGGGACCCTTCTGGCCCTCCTACAAACAGTACTCCGCCCCGGGAACTTCTCCAGAAGCCTCATCATCGAACCCCCCCGCGATTATATTAGGGCCCTACAGCGGGGGGACCGGTACGCCGAGGCCGAGGAGGTGAAGAAATGCCACCATGTCCCAGATCAGCAACGCCCTCGGCCAGAAGACAAAGGTAACCGGGGGCCGGGGGCTCCCCGCAATCATCCCAGGGAGTCTGCCCCCTCCGGTGATCGCCCCCGGCACGGCCAAGCCAAGCCCGGGGGAGGCTACAAAGGGAACCCGAGGGCTTGGGCACAGCCTGTCCTCCTGGAGCACCCTCGGACACCATTGACGCATCCCGTCAGCGTTATTCTTGATTTTGCTGAAGAAAGGGGTCTCGTGGAGCGAGATTCACGCGCGCCCTCGGAAGTATTTGCCATCAATCCAAACTACCCCTACTGTCATTTCCACAGACACCAGGGGCACAGGACCGATGATTGCCATCAGCTGAAGATGGCCATCGAGAAATTGATACAAGTGGGCCATTTGTCCCAGTTTGTCCAGGGCCCTCAGCAACAGGCCCCCCCTCATCAGGGGCCATCCCAAGGGCAAACTGCGAGAGGGAATGCCTGGGTCAACCCCAACACCATCCCCCTTCGGCAAGAAGAGGGAGATTGGAAATCTGGAGGAGGAGGAGGAGTACCCCCGGTACCAAGAAAAGAAACGCCACATCCTCATGATTACGGGGGGAAATACCGGGGGTGATTCCACAAGTCAACGAAAGAAGTAGGCTCAATCACTTTACGTGGGGGAAGTCACTCATATGCCCCCAGTAAAGCGGTTGAGGGAGGAACCCATTATCTTCACCAACGCTGATCTCCCCCCAGTATCCTCCCCCCACAGGGATGCCCTCGTCATCCGTACAGAGATCAACGACACCATTATTCACAGAACTTACATTGACACGGGCAGCTCCGTCAATGTAATGTACCTCAGCACCTTCAGAGAGCTGCATCTGGAGAGGGGGTCCCTTCGGCCCATCAAGACCCCTCTTGCCGGTTTTACCGGCGACACCATCGATTCTGAGGGGGTCATAACCCTCCCGGTCATCTTCGGCGACGGTCTCCATAGAGCCAAGCTCGAAGTGGAGTTCGTCGTCGTCAACATCGACTGCGCCCACAACATCATCCTCGGCCGGCCAGCCCTCGAGGACCTCGAAGCCATCATCTCCATGAGGCACCTCTGCCTCAAGTTCCCAGCCGAGGGGGGAATCGGTTACTCAAGGGGGAACCAAAAACTTGCCCGCACTTGCTACCTTCAAGTTACGAAGAAGGTTAGCAAGACGGAGTTCCGCGTTGACACCATCACCGGAACTGTGGAAGCGGAAGAAAGGAGGCCGAGGGCTGAACCAGCCGAGGAAGTAGAAGACTTCGCGCTCGATCCGGCCAAGCCGGAGAGAGTTGTGAAGATTGGAGCCAAGCTCCCCGAAGATTTGAAGACCGGCATCATCAGCGCCCTCCGCGCCTACTCCATTGTTTTTGCATGGGGGCCGGAGGACATGCCGGGTATCAGCCGAAGGGTCATCACCCACCGCCTCTCGGTGGACCCTTCAGCCAAACCAGTACAGCAACAGAGGAGACCCCTCTCAGCCGAGAGGAGAGAATTTGTGAAGAAGGAGGTCGCCATGCTCCTCTCTATCAAGCACATCAAGGAGGTCAAGTACCCCTCATGGCTGGCAAATGTAGTCCTCGCACAAAAACCGCCCTCATTCCGCATGTGCGTGGACTACACGGATCTCAATAAGGCGTGTCCCATGGACCCCTTTCCTCTGCCCAATATTGATCAACTGGTGGATGAAACCGCGGGGTGCGAAATCATGTCATTCCTCGACGCATTCCGCGGATATCACCAAATATACATGCACAAGGAAGACGCTGAAAACACAGCCTTCATGACTCCCGAGGGCATCTTCTGCTACCTTGTCATGGCCTTCGGCCTAAAGAACTCAGGCGCCACCTACACTCGGATGGTGGCCAGGGTATTTCAAGATGTCCTAGGGCGCACCATGGAGGAATATGTTGACGATATGATCGTCAAAAGCAAGCAGTCAGCAAACCATGCTGACGACCTGAGGGAGATCTTCGCCATCATGCAGAAGTTTAGCCTTCGGCTGAACCCGAAGAAGTGCACCTTCGGCGTCCAGGGGGAAAAATTCCTGGGCTACATGGTTAGCCGAAAAGGTATTGAGGCCAACCCCGAGAAAATCCAGGCCATCATCAACATGGAGCCCCCACGCAACGTGAAGGAGGTCCAACGGTTGACGGGCCGCCTGGCAGCCCTCAACCGCTTCTTATCAAAATCGGCGGAGAAGTCCTTACCCTTCTTCCAGATCATGAGGAAAACCGCCGGTTTCCAATGGACTTCAGAATGTCAGGGGGCATTCGAGGAGCTGAAACGATACTTATCTTCACCCCCTGTGCTCTCTAAACCCAAGGTAGGGGAAATACTGTACCTCTACTTGGGTGTTAGCCCGGCTGCCATCAGCTCTGTACTTATCCGGGAAGAGGATGGCATCCAACATGCCATCTTCTATGTTAGCAAGACCCTCAGGGAAGCGGAGCTCCGGTACTCCCCCGTGGAAAAAACGGTGTTGGCTATCGTGTGGACCGTCAAGAAGTTGGGCCATTACTTCCAGGCTCACCCGGTCCAGGTCCTCACTCACCAACCCCTCGGCGCCTTGATGAGGAGCCCCACTAGCTCCCCCCGAATGGTAAAATGGGTTGTCTTCTTGAGCCAATACAACATCGACATCCGTCCTAGGCCCGCCATCAAGGGCCAAGCCCTAGCGGACTTCGTGACGGAGTGTACGACAAGGGTATGCGGAGGAGGGGTAGTGCTCATCTCACCTGAGGGCTTCCGGGCCTATTATGCCGTCCGTTTCTCCTTCAAAGTCTCCAACAATGAAGCCGAATATGAGGCTCTCCTCTGTGGCCTTCGCCTGGCAGCTAACATGAAGGCCCGACAAATCCACGTCAAGTGCGAATCCAAGTTGGTCGTCAGCCAAATCTCCGGGGAGTACGAGGCCAAGGAAGGGAGAATGAAGCAATACAAGGAGGCGGCCAAGGAGTTGCTCAAGGGTTTTGAGGCACACTCTCTTACTCAAATACCGAGGGCTCAAAACTTCGAGGCCGACATTTTATCAAAGCTCTCGGCAGAATCCCCTGAGCACATCTCCAAGATCGCCAAAATAGAAGAACTCAGCCTCTCCAGCATACATGCTAGCCCCGTCATGAACATACAACAAAGACAGGAGGACTGGATCTCAGACATTGTTGCCTTCATCACCACAGGGCAACTGCCCGAGGATGAGGCCCACACCAAGCTAGCAAAGATGAGGGCTCCCAGCTACACTATCGAGGACGAGAGGCTTTACAAAAGGTCCTACAACGGGACGTTGCTTCGGTGCCTTCATCAAGATGAAGCCGAAGTAGCAATGGAGGAAGTACACAGTGGCACTTGCTCAGCTTACCAAGGACCCTTCTCCATGTCCCGAAGGCTAATAATCCAGGGCTACTTCTGGCCTACGATGGCCCGGGATTGTGCGGACCTTGCCCGAAGGTGTCCGGCATGCCAGCACTTGCAGCTAGCCCCTGGCAGGCCAGCGGTCAACTATGCCCCCATCAGCACATCCATACCTTTCGCTCGATGGGGCATAGACCTTGTGGGCCCTCTGCCGAGGGGTACCTCCAACAACAGGTACATCATTGTCGCCATCGATTACTTCACCAAATGGGTGGAAGCGAAGCCCCTCGCCAGCATCACTGAGGCCAGGTGCCGTCATTTTGTTCTCAAAAACATCCTCACCAGGTTTGGCGTCCCTCAGCAAATCATCTCCGACAACGGGACTCAATTCGAGGCAGCCCCCTTCTGTGCCCTCTTAGAGGCATGGGGCATCAAACACACCTTTTCATCCGTTGCTTACCCTCAGGGCAACGGTCAAGTGGAGAACGCCAACACGACCTTGCTCGAAGGCCTAAAGAAGAAGCTGGAGGCCGAAGGGGGCGGTTGGGTAGAAGAGCTCCACAACATCTTATGGGCCTACCGTACCACCCCTCGGCGGGCAACTGAGGAGACACCCTTCTCCCTTTGCTACGGATTTGAAGCCAAAGCCCCCACTGAGGTGACTCTCCCGACCCAAAGGGTCACACAGTATGATCCAGAGGCCAACGACACCAATATGGCCCTCGACCTCCACCCGATTTCAGAATGCCGAGAGCAAGCCTTCATACGCGCAAAGAACTACCGAAGGCAGGTGAAGGGTTACATTGACGCCAAGGTTCGCTCCAGGGAATTCCAAGTGGGGGATTATGTCCTCCGAAGAAGGGAAGCTAGCCAACCAACCGAGGGCGGAAAGATGGCACCAAAGTTCGAGGTCCCCTACATCGTGACAGCCATCATCAAACCCGGAACTTACAAGCTAAAACGCCCTAACGGGACTGAAGTCCCTAGGCACTGGAATGTACATCACTTAGTTAAATTTTATCAATAACATCAGAGCGGCCAAGCCCTCATAAATAGTGAATGTATTATTTTACGGCCCAAGGCCTAAAGAATTCTGAAGAATGAAGGCATTTTGAAGACACCGAGAACACGGAACAAGATTACCACAAGGGCCAAGCCCTCATACCACCCCCAGGCCCAAGGCCTCACCACAATAGAAGAACCCTCGACACCAAGTGCCGAGGGTAGAGAATACTATCACCTACAGCAAAGCACCACCTGTCCCCAAAAGAAGACCCCTCGGCACCTGGTGCCGGGGGGACACATCACTAGCAGCTTTCAACAAATGAGAAGAAACACCAAGTGTTTCCACAGAAGGCCCTTCGGTACAAAGTACCGAGGGTGGATAACATAATCCCCTTCAATAATCGGGGAGAAACACCAAGTGTTTCCACAGAAGGCCCCTCGGTACCAAGTACCGAGGGTAGACGACACAATCACCTCCTCCAACAAGTAGGAAGAAACACCAAGTGTTCCCACAAAATATCCCTCGGTACCAAGTACCGAGGGTAGACACCACAGTCCCCTGCGACAAGTGAAGAAAAAAACACCAATTATTTCTACAGAAGAACCCTCGGTACCAAGTACCGGGGGCCGTACGTCGGAACAAACACCAAGTGTTGTTTCCTAAGCCGTACCCCTCGAGGACGCCTATACCGAAGGCGCCACCTATCGGTGCCGGCAGCACGTAGTGCACCCGGCCATTTGCAACCAGTGTGCAAATGAAAACCCTTCCCTGAAACGCTTTCCGCGTCATCACCCCAAGGGTATGACAGGCATGAGAAATGCCCAGGATTCGACTTTCAAAAACGGAACGCTTTCCGCGTCATCACCCCAAGGGAATGACAGGCACGATAAATGCCCAGGATTCGACTTCCAAACCGAAACGCTCCCCGCGCCACCACCCCAAGGGGGCGTGGCAGGCCACGGACTATGTCTAGCGCCGAGGGGACGACTTTCAAAACTGAGGCGCTTTCCGCGCCATCCCCCAAGGGGAGGCAGGTTATGGTGTATTCTACCCAGGAATCGACCCTCGATCCCCTCGGAACTCGGAAGGTCAACCCGAGGGGGGAGCTAATGGTGTATTCTGTTACCTCCCGATAGGCCAAGCCTTACCAAGAAACCAAGTTTCTTGATGCCTTCCCTTCACTACTCAAAAAAAAAATTGGGGTGGTGAAGGGGAGTAGACTCGGCGAGAAATCAATGAGTACATCACACCAACGATTCACAAAAACATACCGAGGGCTCCCCACGGGAACACCTTCGGTACCTGGAAGTCAACAAATACAAAGGATACCATTCACAACAGACATCATCAACGAATGGTTAAGTCCACTCAAGGATTGCCTCCGGCTATACCTAAAACCGAAGGTTCAAACGACTCAAAACGTCCCCGAAGGGCACTACATGACAGACAACCGAAGGCATTTGTTACCATAGCCCAACATGGCAAAGCAAATGGAACTATCCTAAACCCACAACGCCTACAACCGAAGGCCCCCCGAAGGACAGCAACAGGAAACACTTAAAGAAAAATCTAAATCCTAAATTCTTTGCCCCTTGTGGAGCCGCCGGTCAGCCGAGGGCATACCACAAACAAGGTCCTCACAATCACCCGAGGGCTCCTACTTCACACATACTACACTTAGGAAAATTTCCTAAGTCCTACATACTTTGACCCTCGGTCAAATCTCCATGCTGCCCGAGGGCTCCTACTTCATACATGCTACACTTAGAAAAATTTCTAAGTCCCAAGAGTTCTTACCCTCGGTGATAAGTTTCTAAGTCTCGAATCTCCCTGCAGCCCGAGGGGTCACACGATTGAAGGCTTGGTGAGACTACACTTGGAAACATTTTCTAAGTCCTAACCATTGCTGGGCCCTCGGCCCTACATCCAGCGAAGGGTGCCCAACTACCGAAGGCTAAAACTGTATTGAAACACTTAGGAAAATTTTCTAAGTCCTAAGCACCTCACCTCCGGCTATCTCACGAAGGCTACATGGAACCAGAGGGGAGGAACCGGCCGAGGGCCAACAGATGAACAAATACTTAGAAATATTTCTAAGTCCTGAACGTTGTGCCCTCGGTGAAAGGTTCAACTGACTAAAGATTACTGGTAGCCGAGGGCTACAAGAAGCACTACACTTGGAAGAATATATTCTAAGTCCTAGGCATACATTCAAAAGAAAGCGAGGGCATACATTCGAAAAGAAATGAATTAAAGAGGACAAATCATATACACAAAGCCCGAAGGCAATCATTCATTCGTCAAAAAGAGGAAATTCAAATGTATATGTTACAACATATGGCCGAGGACGAGGGTACACAAACATTACAAACAAAAAGAAAAGAGTTCAGACAACTATTCAACTACAAGTATTTCCTTCAAGCTGCTGCCTCCTCGGCGGGCTTCGAGGTGACCTCCTCCCCGACGGCGTCCTCGATATCATCATCGCCGGATCCCCCCATCATCATGGAGTCATGGATCACCGGCCTCTCTTCGCCCGGGGGGAGGGGGTTTCTAACATCTGGCTGCAAAGCGGGAAGGCCGTACGCCGAGGGGTCGAATTCCTCGAGAGGGACTTTGAAGTGCCTGGCGAGCCTCCGGTACACCAGATGCTGAGTGAAGAACTCGCCCCCCTGATAATAGCTGTCCCCCTTTTCTGCCATCCAGTCGGCTCCGGGGCCCTTCACCCAGTCATCAACCGAAGACTCCACGACCGAGGCCACCCACTGCCGCCTGTCTTCGGTCTTCCAGCCCTCGGCCACGAAGGCGACAACAGCTTCTTCCCGGGCTTTGGCGACGGCCTCGGCCTTAGCAATCTCCGCCTCCTCGGCGGCTTTTTTGGCTGCCCTCTCAGCCTCAAGCCTGGCTTCCTCTGCTGCAGCTTTGCCCTCGGCAGCCTTCCGGAGATCTTCCTCCAGCATGGCCATCTGCTTTACAGCCTCGGAGTTCTTCAGGATGAGCTCCTTCATCTCCCGGTCCTGCTCAGCCTTCCGGAGGCGCCATTGCTCGAGCCTCTGTGCGTGCTCCCCGAGGGCTACGCAAGCCTGATAAACAACGGGAGGAGGGGTCAGATTAACACGAAAAAAGCATTAAAAGTTAAACGCAAAACCTAAGGGAGCAAACTTACAGTTAGTGAAGATCGAAGGATCCTGTTCTCGAGGGCCTCGTCATCATATGTGGAGAGGGCAGCCTTGTCCATCACCGAGGTCATCCCCCTCAGAAAAGCTTTCGGCTCCGCCGAGCCGTGTAGAACAGAAGCCCCCGGGGCTAAAGAGAGTTGCAGGATCTCCCGAGGGGGGCTTCTCAAGGGAGGATTGGTTTGGGCCATCGCCGCAGCATCAACCGGGGGGTCCGGAGAGGGGCGATCCTCAATGATCACCAAGGGGGCATCCTGGCCGACAGTGCCCCCTGTGCCCCTCTGCTTCTTAGACGGGGGCTCAATCGCCTTGCTCCCCTTTTTCTTCTTTGTGGCCCCCTCCGCCACACCGACGACTCCCTCCGCAGCAGAGGGCTCCGGAGCCTCTTTTTGGAAGAAGGCTCCCACAGGCGGTTGAACCGAAGGGTCCTTCTTCTGGGCTTGGGTCTTGCCCTTCTTCTTCAAAGCGAAGAGTTTTCCAACATCCATGTTAACACCTGCCAACAAAAACAAAGGGGTTAGGCCGAAGGAGAAAAGAGCAAAAAAAAGGGAAAGGGAAAAAAAATCCTAAGTACAAAAAAAAAGGAAGTCCTCGGAGACTACCTCCTGCCAGTACAGGATACTTCTCGTCTGTTTCGCCGAGGAAGCGATATCTGCGGAAGCCGAGGGCAAAAAGCTCCTTGTCAGCAGTGAAGTCCTTAATGGACACTTGCTTCGTGCGGCCCGGTGGGATCTTGGCTATTATCAAGCCATCCTTCTCCAGAGCAGCACTTCCGACCTTCGGATGCCGACGGAAGAGATCCCTAAGTTCCATCGAAAAAGGGCTCTCGGCAATCCTAACGTAGCACCACCGCTCCTTCCAGCCTTTGTTGGACGAGGGCGCTTCTGTGAATAGTTTCCACCGAGCAACCTGTTGCAGATTGGCGAACCCCTCGGCGTTCGCGTGACCCCCTCGGCAGAGGTTGAAGCTCTGGAAAAACAGGTCCAGGCTGGGGGTCACCCCTCGGGCCCGTCAGAGGTTCAGAAAGCCCGCCACGTAGGAGTGGCTGTTGGGCGTCAACTGGCAGGGGACCAAGCCCACATACCGGAGATACTCCCGAAGGAATGGGTGCAGGGGGAACCGGAGCCCCATTGACACCGATAGGATGTGCACAACAATGCAACCCTCGGGGGCCCGGGAAAGAACATCATCAGGGCCCGGCGCCACCACCACAGCCGAAGGCCCCACGTGCAGCTGGGTCACGTACATGTCTTCCCTATCAGCCTTCGACCCTATCTCCAGGGCAGTAGTATTTAGCCAGGAGTACCCCTCGGGCACATCTATGGGCTTCCCCTGATCAGCGGCAACATTTTTCTTCTTAGGAGCAGTTTTATTCTTCTCCGATTTTTTCCCGGGGGCCACTCTTACCGGCGTCGGGTTGAGGGGCCGAGAGCTCCCTGCCTCACCAGCACCCCGAGGGGGAAGGACGGCCACGGTCACCTTCATCCTCTCCTTTTCTTCCTCCTCCTCTGCAACTTGCACGGCGAGGGCAAGCTCTTCGTCCTCCGCCTCCTGCTCGAAGCCCTCGGCTTCGACTTCGGCCACCAGCTCTTTCTGCACTTCCACCGCCATCGCGACATCCTCCTGGGCCAAGGACTGTTCGCTTGAGGACTCCACGTCCGAGATGACTTCATCCTCCATCGAGGGCGCCCCCGAGATGTCCTGGGAATCACTTTGGGATGACATCTTTGCACTGGTTCGAGGGCTCGGAATCGCTAAGTTTTCTAAGTTACGATTCCTAGATCTAAGGCCGCTACAGCTAGCTAAGGAGGGAGAAGAACAGATGGGGAACTAACCTTAAGGCAGGGATTGATCGAAGGCTGCAGTTTCTCTCTCTAGAAATTTTTGCAGAGCTTCGCTACAATGATTTCGCACAAGGGGAAATGTCCGGCCATGGGGTATTTATAGGCAAAAGGATCCGGGCTTGGGCCTGGAAACCGGGCCTCCGGTTGGACTGCCATCATTACGAACCGTGGCTTCGCCCAATCGGTGATGCCCGCCCACGGGCAGCCAACGAGCACGCACCACGTGGCAACCCCCCCAACGGCTATATCCTGACGTTACATATTCCAACGGCTATATTTCCAACGGCTATATTCTGGGAGCCCCCGGGCTTTTTGCTTCACTCCACTTCATCAGGGAGAGCCCCCGAATACACTTACCCGGAGACACTCCCGGCTTGTGCCCCACACACTACATAACGGATGCCTTCGGGATCGATCCTTCAGAAGCCCAAGGCTTCATATCAGGCCACCCCTCGGGGATCCCCCCTCAACACTTTGAGGGCCGGGTAGCCCCCGGGGAGTATGCCTCATTGACGGATAGCCTACGGCAAACATGTAATGGGGGCCCTCGGATATCCTCATCACCAACTAGTCAACAAACAGGGGACCCCCCGGTAACAATTCAACTACCACCCGCATTCATTACGCCCTCGATCCCCAGATTGAGGGACCCTCCTTCGACACCTCCCAGGACATCAACAACAAGCCTCCGGCTAATCAACACATAAGCCCTCAGAACAAGGAGAGCCTTCGGCATCTGCATTATTCTCCATTTCGAACCAAGGTTTCACATTTTCGATTCATCGTTGGGGGAATTCGGTGCACTCTTTTTCCCTCATCAGGATTTTTTCCCACAGGGTTTTTCCTAATGAGGTTTTTAACGAGGCATCCCCCCAAAATGAATCGAAAAGCGTCAGTCTTCGGCCCACAACAGCAACGCAACTACTCTACTCCTTTTCACCACTTTGCAAGTGCCTCAAGGAGTGGGGGACTGGAGGACCCCCTCGGGAAAAATCACGAAAATCACAAACATGACCCCTCAAGTCCCGACATGTGGGTAACTGAGGGACTGCCCTCGGCAGAATAAACAAACAGCAAACTACCCACAACTCTACAAACTACAAACAAAACAACGGCAGAGGACAAGCACAATTACTCCTTTTCCCTCAAGTACCTTTCGGCAAAAGGAGTGAGGGACTCCCGATGGAGTATATGGCCCGGGAACCCCCGGCCCACAGACTCCTACTACTCCAATAAAGGCCCAACAGGCCCAGAAAGCACAACAGGCCCAAATCACAGCACCCAGAGTACCAAGCAGCCCACAACGCGCACCAGGGGTGCCTTCGGCCCCCTGGCCGAAGGCTCTAACTCTCACAAGAGGGCCAGGACAGGAAAACAAAGTTACTGGGAAAAACGGCGAAAATCAGTAGCCCTCGGCAACTGGAGCCCTCGGCACTAAGGGGGTCCCCGGTACTCAGAGCCCTCGGCTAGTCATCTACTGCCGAGGGTGCCTCTTCTGACACAATATCCGCTCCACATGCGTACAGATCACCGTACCCTGTACAACGTCCCATCCAACAGCCGCATTAAATGCGGCCACATGCGGTTGCCAGCACCAACCAGATGAGGTGACCTCTCGGCCAATGGACGCTTGACACGTGTCCCTGTCCGGCATTTATTGCTACTATAAATAGCACCCCATTCCCCCATTTGTAACCACGCTGAAAACGCTGAACACTTTGCAATATACTTTCTCTCTCTATATTTACTTGCTCCGACTTCTCTCTTATAATTCTCCGTAATAACCCCTCGGATAAGCTACCCCGGGTACACTATCCATCAGAGTATATCCTAAATTTTATATAAAAAGTTATGTTAGCATCATGGTCATATATTTTTCCACAAATGTAATTTTATGGTATTGAGTACATAATTTCAAATACACAAAAAATTTATGAGGATACAATTAAAACTAAATTATAGCGGATGTAATATTATGTATTTCACAAATGAAATTTTGAATGTTAACTATATTCTAACAAAGCTCAAAGTATTTTAAATTGTGCAATTATTTCAATAAATTTGTATTTGCTAAAAGTATACTATACAAAAATATTTTTTTATGCTACGTATAAAGTTTGGCGAAAAGTTATTACATATGCAATATATCAAAGCATGTGTATTCGTTAAGACGTGATTCTATTTAAAAGGCATTATTCCATCAAACAATATTACTTCAAAAAATAATTGTTAAAAATTTCCTAACACCACAATTATAGAGGTTTTTTTAACAAATAACTTAATTATTATTGATAAGAGTATCAAGAACATAACAATCAAAAGTCAAAGCATTACAATCATATCGTTCAGTGTTACACTAGGTTAAGACAAAAAACAAAAAAGACTTAAAAAGGCGTTCATGTTCGCTAACCCTGCAACGATGTAGACTAATCTCGCGCAGTGTGACTGCTTATGCTACTCAAAATGGATCTGATTTGATCAGTCACCGAAAAGAAACTATTAAACTTCCTGATTTTGCCAACCATTAGTAAGGAGTCAAGTGTAGAATTTGTTCCAGTTTCACCAGCCACCGAAAAGAAAGTAATTCATGCAATTCTGTCTTTCTAGATCGGCGGTGGTTCACGAGTGGGGTGATCGGCCTCAATATTGATGCAGAAGAAATCCTGATTCATGATTGATGAAGAACACAAGAACATTCGACCTATGATGGCGGGGAATATACATCTGACAGATGACAATCCACCACTAGAAACGACATCTTTAGACAATTGTTAACACTCGGAGTTCCATCCTAAAAAGTAAACCTGATAGGAGGAGTAGCTTAGATCTTAATATAGTGTTTAATTCTTTCAGAGATATCCGGAATGAGAGTTTAACAACAACGTTAGGAAGTAAATGTATAGATAGTGTTGATATATATTATCCCGGTCTATTACTATTCAGGAGCCCAAGAGTTACGTAGTACAGAGCCTAATCAGTGAGACTCATTTTTAGCCTATCAGGTCTGTTTTGACCTTTGGGCCCATTTCGGCTTATTCGGCCTGTTAGGGTGGAGAGCCCCCCTTCCCCATTCCCTGTAAATAGGAGGTTTCCCTCCATGTAAAAGGATACTGCTTTAGCTTCTTGTTCCTTAGTTGTCTCTATACTAGCTCAATACTCCATTAATGGGAGTTTGTACATTGTAATGGTGAAGAGAGTTTTATGAGAAAGAGAGGACTTGACATTGGTCTAAAAAATCCCGTGATTTTCTCTCTTTCAGGTTTCCACGTAAAAACTGAGCTTGTTCATACACATTTATAGATATATTTACTATATCGTGTTGGATTAAACTCAACACGGGTGCCGTATGCGGAAATGTGACAAAGTGCACTGATTCCAGAAAAACAAGAAAAAGGATTATGGGAAGCAAAACAGAAGGAAAGGAGAAGCTGGGATATGCAGATCTGGGATGTCTCAGAACTCCGCCGGATCCATCGTCCCCAACGCCATAAAACCTTGGGTGAGTTATGTGCACCGGATGAAGCTTGTTGCAGCACCCCAGAAAAGAAGGAAACAGGGAAGATACGAAGTCTGGGAAGCCCACATATGGATCCCTTCCAGATCTAGTTTTGGGGGCCGCCGGAGCCGCCGGAGCCGTCCCCACCGGCATGGAACCTCCGATGAGTTTACCTGCACCAGACTGAACTCGCTGCAGCGCCCCAGGCCTTGTTGTTTGGGTTTTCTGGCAAAACTCCGTCTGCAACACGGCCGCTTGTCGCTGGCAGCTGTGTTGGAATAATCTTAAATTTATTTATTAATTACTTGGTTTACTTATTTATTAAGGTATGTTTTAATTTGTTTTATCCGTACTAAGACTAGGTCAGGTGGGAGTTATATTAGGAGTATTTGAATAGTCTAGAGTGATGGAGATAATGGAGGAGTGGATCCTATTTGTTAGCCCATCACTTTTGTTAGTTAGTTTTTTTTTATCTCTTCTATATATTGTAAGGCCTGGCATGGAAAGTTACTGTACGTATCAATCATGTTTCCTCAATTCTCCAATATATAAAAATGAGCACTTGCTCACAAAATCTGTGTCCTACTTTTATATTTATATAGCTTCATATTTGTTCCTTACACTTGGTATCAGAGACGCATGATCTAGGGTGTGTGCATTGAAATCATATATATACACCTTCATATATACATATATATTACGTATTTTCTCTTCTTCAATTCAACGGCATCAAACAATTTCTCCATCTCTATCCCGTTGTTCAAAGGTGATAACTATCTTTCATGGGCCATCAAAATGAAAGCATACATGAAAGCTATTAGTTTATGGGACATCATTGAGAGTGACGGTGAGCCTACTCCTCTTCCAGGAAATCCAACAGCAGCCCAAATCAAGAAACATGAAGAAGAAATGGCACGAAAGCCAAAGGCACTTTCGTGTATTCATGCAGCGGTGTCCGAGGAGATTTTCACAACAATCATGGATTGTGAGTGTCCTAAAGAAGCATGGGAGAAAATTAAAGAGGAGTTCGAAGGCAACCAACAAACCAAACTTATGCAAATTCTCAACCTCAAAAGGGAGTTTGAGATGATGGGGATGAAAAGTAACGAAGGTGTCAAAGAATATGGGAATAGGTTGATGTCCACTGTCAATAAAATCAAATTACTTGGTGGAGATTTTTCAAGCCAAAGAGTTGTGGACAAGATTTTGGTAACTCTTCCGGAGAGATATGAGACTAAGATCTCCTCACTTGAAGATACTAAAGATCTCTCAAAACTAACCGCCTTAGAATTAATCAATTCTCTCCATGCCGTTGACCAAAGGAGATCAATGAGGGAGGAAGAAAATGGAGGAAAAAATGAGGGACTCCTGTTAACCAAATCTTCAAAAGGCACTGGCGATAAAATTCCATGCAACCATTGTCATAAGGTTGGTCATGAAGAAAAGGACTGTTGGCACAAAGGAAAGCCACAATGCTTCAAATGCAAAAGGTTTGGGCATCTGGCAAAGAACTGTAGATTCCAAACTGATGACGAAGTCTTGGCACATATGGTCGAGGCAGAACCTCTTCTTTAGAATTATGGGTGATTATGTGCACCATGGGGAGAAGTGCTCCAAAGTGTTTATTATTTTGATGAGACGTGCATCAAAATTTGGTGGTGGTGAGAAGTGCATCACAGATGAAGAGAAGTGCTTCGTAAATTTAAGATTATGGGGGTGATTGTTGGAATAATCTTAAATTTATTTATTAATTACTTGGTTTACTTATTTATTAAGGTATGTTTTAATTTGTTTTATCCGTACTAAGACTAGGTCAGGTGGGAGTTATATTAGGAGTATTTGAATAGTCTAGAGTGATGGAGATAATGGAGGAGTGGATCCTATTTGTTAGCCCATCACTTTTGTTAGTTAGTTTTTTTTTATCTCTTCTATATATTGTAAGGCCTGGCATGGAAAGTTACTGTACGTATCAATCATGTTTCCTCAATTCTCCAATATATAAAAATGAGCACTTGCTCACAAAATCTGTCTCCTACTTATATATTTATATAGCTTCATATTTGTTCCTTACAAGCTGGTTGCACCGCCTGAAGTCGCCACCCCGCCGCTCGTCGCCAGCGGCCAACCGCAGGCTGCTCCACCAGCTCGAAGAAGGTACACCCAAGGCTCGGTAGATCTCCCACCGAAGACCAGGCCCTGTACTCACCTTGTTCCGCGGCAGCCGTCCGTACCGTCGTGGGAAAGTGGCCGACGCATGCAGTTTGGACTTGGGTCAGTCAGCTGTTGTTCATCTGTGCTTCCGAAAGATACTCCCTCAGTTCATCTGTCCCTCATACTCCCTCAATTGCTTGGACACACAATTTAAGAAAATGTAATTATTGGGTTTGACTTTCCTGTTTTACCCTTTTCAAAAAGCAAATTAAAGTTAGTGTTGTGTACGGTAAAAAGCAACCCACTACTCCGTATTACTCCATTCCAAATAAAGGTTGCGTATACATTGTCAAAAAGTTACTTTTTGTCAAGGACTTTTTCAGACTCCCTCCAAAAGT